AAGTGCTAAATCCACACTTAGATGACTGTATGTTAATTCCTACTCGGTGTTACTCAATACGGTAATCTATTGAATGAAAACTACTCATCTATTCAGGCTTTAACCGTAGTCTTTGATTTCTAAAATGTGCTTTCACTTAAGAAGTAGAGAAAACACAATCTGCGGTTGGTTACAAAATCTAGAAGAGAAGAACTCTTTGTAAATATATTTTTGTATTGTTAATGAGGTTGAAATGAAAATATTACTATTGGCTTGTTCGCCTCTGACAAGATTTTTACTTGTGAGGATAGGAGTTATTGTAAAATAAACTTCCCTCCCTTTCGTCTCAGTATACTTGAGTAGGAAGATTGGAGGTGGTCAATTGGTATTTGAAATTCCTCAAAGGAGGAATGCTATAATCATACCGGATATTACACGTTTGGCTGTTTTAAGGGTATTTCATCAACCTTTTTTACACCGCTGGAATATTGTGGTGTTCTTGTTATTGCTATGCCCTGCAAGGTTACACCTCATGACAACTGTTATTATTATTATTATTCCCTTAAGTTCCAAGCGAAACATTCGGCTTCAAAAACAAATCTCCAGATTTTTCTATTCTCTGCCGTTCTCTTCAGCTGGGTGACCCTACGATTGCCCATAATCTCTCATCTGCTACTCCTCGCCACACAATCTGTTTCATTTAATCCACGCACTGACGACCCACCAGTCAATTCTCATTGAAATTCAACTCCAAAGATGGTCTGCATTGAGCTTGACGTCATTCGACGGCATCCTCAGCCAACGAATGCCCGATCCATCCATCTACATTTTCCCTTGCATTTCTGTCAATTGAGAACTCGGTTCTTGCTTGGTTCGTCGCTAGCAAGTGACGTGGACAGCTGTTGATAAAAGTCTGCCACAGGCTGTTAGAAATCCTTTTCGTGACTGACACGCAGTGCAAGTTTCTGACCCACATGGAAGAGCTGACTGACTGACTTCACATCTGTGTTGAACGGAATCCGATTCTTGTTCTTTATGCTGGTTGGCTGAGTGACAGCAGACGATTTTCAAACTGGTTTCGGTTTGATGAAGAAGTATCTTGCTTGTGTTTCCAATTCTGACTGGCTGGCTTTAACATCTTGATCCGTGCTGTCTGACTATCTATAGTTGAAACAATGCTTCCTAGTTGGATAAGTGAAGCAATCAACGTCTGTCAAATTTCTCTCACGATAACTGTTACCCTCATCAAATTTCTGCATACTCTGTGATTGGTTGTGAGGTTGGTTTGCGAGGCTTTGTTTCGATGATCATATTTGTTCAGGTGTTTCAGAATAAGGCTTCAGAAGGATCTTTATTTTCTCCATCCTCTGAATTATAACCATGGCGGAAAATGTTTTGAATAGAAAACAGTGGATAATACACCAGATAAAGCTAGACCCACATGAACAGGTGAATGTAAAGGTAAAACTTAGCAATGTAGAAGAATTTTGTTCACTTACTAAACATACAGTAGACCTCATTTTTCTCAATACCTGACACGTAAAGGTTTTTAAATAAATTATAAATGGGTTATTCTTTTTTGATTATGACGTAACCACGACTAGATTGCACGAATATTTACCTGAAGAAATTGAAACTAGACTTGAAGGCGAGATGATGAAATTAGTTATTCAAAGCCTTAATATAAGTTTTACAAGTATAACTCTTATAAATGCATTCGTTTTGTATTTAGTTGGCAATATTTATAAAGTTATTCACTTAAATTATTCTCGTAACTTATACCGACCTTCATTTTTATTCTAAGGTTTGAATATTCTCTGCTACAATGCAGTATAGTATATTGATCGCTATTCTGCATGAAATCAATATTAATTACACACCTGTAAATATCATTGATGCCACATATCGAGAAATTCATCCAGTGAAGATCACTGGTGTTTATAGTGAAGACTTGAGTAAGACAAGTAAACCCCTTACCACCATCTATACCCTTCGTGATTGTGGTGTATTGAATGATTTGTTAGACTGTGGTGAGTGAGAAGACGCTGGAAGGGAAATACATACCTAGAAAATTTGGATTTCGTGGGTAATATATATTTCATATCACCCAAACTCAAAGATATACAAGTGAAAATCATAGAGTTGGTAAAAGATACAGAGAAAACAGTTCAAGAGTTCACAGGAACATGGGAGAAGATAGAGGTGGTAAAGATAGCTGGCAAAGTTCAACAATAGCATCTCAAATGGATGTAGACGCACGAGTGTCCTTGAGCTGACCAATCAAAAAAGGAGGAATTTTTGCATGAAAAATGACGTGTATTTACAAAAAAATGCATGAAAACACATTAAACTGGGTATCTTTTTCTCACATGGCTTAAAAATACGTCCCAGTTGTAATGAGTATAATTTGCTAAGTTAGACTAGTTTCTGTACATGCATTCACCGAAGTGACTGAAGATGAGCTGTGTTTTTTGTGAATCGTCTATCTCTCTTATCCTGCTGTGCAGTTTTCCCAGAAGCCCATGGTTTAATTACTATGGTTTCCAGTAAGAGGATCGACGATTACTTACCACGAAAATGTGGATGATAAAACAAAATGAAATATATGACATCAACCCTAAATCTACCCTTAATCGCAGCCCTAACATTAATCCTGACCCTAATTACAACCCTTATTCTAACCGTAAGTCTAACCGTAATCCTAATTCTGACCCTGAACTAACCCTAATCCCAATACTTACCTTAACCCTAATCCTAACCCTAGCGAGCTTGTAGTGCACCTTGAAATTTTGAATTTTTGTTTTAACGCACTCGCCCACTTTTGACACCACACCATCTTTTGCTTTCCGATGTGACTGTACACACGTGGTTCGCTTCTTTGTTGTGCTTTCATTCAGTGCACTCTTTGAGCTTACTACCCAGTCGAGGCATCCATCAGATAAGTTGTATAACATCTTTATTTATAAAAATTGATATTTCATATGTGTAAAATACAACTCCGTTCAAGACACACTTCCAGTCCCAAGTCTTTTTACTTTGATTTCGTTAGTCAGTACTTACATGTTAGGTTGAGTACTGATGTGGTTATTAAGCGGTGAAGTATTTAGTAAGTGCGGTTATCAGAGGTCTGTCTTAAGTATAACCCAACACAAACGAGCTATTAACACATCGTCCAAACAGTAATTAAAAACGTGATCTGGGTGAAATTTATTCCTTATTTAGTGAATAAAATTAATATTTCAGCAATAATAATGGCAGGTGCCGTTAGTCAACGACTAGTATGCGTTCAAGTTTGTTGGAGCGTTCACACTCCTTAGACGCTACTGTTGAACTACGCCAGACAGCCAACCAATCTCAACAAACACCGATCGTTATCTACTGCAGAAACTCGAGAAGAAATCGTTTCTTTCACTTAAGTGTTTGTGCGGCATCTATTCAAGTACAGGCGGTACAAATGACGATATCAAAGCCAGACAAAATGACATGGGAAAGCAAGACAGTCGTTTATTTTTCTGAAATCAATTTGACAATCTAAATCAACAATCTGCTCAGAAAAACAGAACAATATCTGAATTTTTTATAATGTAAATTCAGTGATCTCATATGATTCAGAAGTTCGACATATCAACAGATGCATTTATGACCGACTGTAGACTTTTATCAACAAATAACTCCACTCAATACTGACGAGCAAATGGTTACGGGGCTGGAAAGGATAAGCAACATAGAAACCTGGTAGTATACAGCTTTTCAACCAACCTTTTGTCCAACAAATATATACAAAGACAAAGAAATGGATTTGATATACTCTCAGGAGCTCGCTGAGTGACATCAAATATTATACCAACCCCAAGTACAGCTTCAGTGGGAAGCGATAGGTTGGAGAAGATTATATGAATAATAATTGAAGGCTTATGTGCAGTTATAAAACCCAGTGAAAGGAATATCAGAGAACTGGATGCAACAGAGATGTACCACTGAATCCCTGCCTATGCTCCACTCGGAATGCAAGGAACAAGTAATATTAATAATGCCAATGATGGCAAGAGTAAACAATAGACACCAAGTTAAATGACCTTTATTTGACCAATCAGATAGCTCAGCATTACAAATGGTTGCTAGTCATAATCCTCGTTAAAAATATCTCCTAGATTTGGTTTTTGACTTGTCTGTGGAAAAATGGGTTGATAGGGAGGAATAAAACAGGCATATGCGGAGTGATAATGACTCTGAAAAAGTATTGCCGGACGATGGATGCTTATACATTCAGATGCAACTTTTTTACATGAGGAAGTCTGTATAAGTTCGTAAGTCGTACATAATCGGTGATATTTTTTAAGCACTTTCTTCTCGAAATCAAAGCTCTCTCTTAGTAATATAATATTGGGTATATACAACCAGTATCTGCTACAGCTGGAGAAATAGAGAATACATTGGTTTGGTATGTCAATAACCGCTTCTATGAGAATCTGGGACCAGGTTTGCAGCATATTAGAGATATATACCTTATATGACTTATTAATTGTTCCACTTTTCACCTAGAAGAATCTGATTGGCTGTTTCAAGGTCGTATGAAGTTGGTGTCTAGTTTTTACTGAATTGCCTATTTTGAATTTCTTATTGAGACTTTTATATCTAGCTTCAATCAGGAGTGCTGACGAGTCCGAAATACGACGAAATACATATCCTACATCCTATTGTTAACCATCAGTGACAGTAATGATAATAATAATAAAAATAAAAGTTTATTCTTAAACAAATAAAAAATAATAGACAGTAGTTCTTAATTTACAATAAAATTTCATACAAGGGGTCAAAGAATAAAATGGATAAGTGTATATGTATATATATACAATAGTAAAAATAATCATAACAATAAAAGCCAATTATCACATAACTAAATCAGCACTGAAATATACGTGAAAAATGGTTCTTCTAATCGAGAAATAACTTTATACGCTAAATTATTTAATCCATCATAATTCATTCTACTCTCGGTACTTTCAGTTACCTGTAAATGATTAATATTCATATTATTATTATGATTATTGTTATTATTCCCATTGAGTTGACGTGTATTTTCCCACTTCTTATTTGATGATGTAAGCATATATTGTCCAATCTTTTCATTGACATGTCTATACTCAATATTAATAGTTTTAAGACGTCTAATAAAGTCATAATGGTATTCTATATCGTTATATACATTCCAATAAACATTTGAATATCCATTGACAGTTAGAAAATTTTTGGCGGTTAATTTAACAACACCATTATTCCTATACGATGATGATAATGATGTGGAGGGAGAGGATGATGTATAAGGAGGTTTAAATTTACTAAGATTATTACTAATCGCCATACTTGAATGAATCATTGAATATTTCGTCATTGTATCACATTGATAAGAATTATAATAATTCACTGGCGCTAAACTGATATCATGAAATATAACACAATGGAATTGAAACAACTTCATAGCTTCGACAAAACCAACATTTAATAATTTACCTTTATTATAAGAATTATTATTATCATAATCACTATTGATATAACTAAGTGATTCTATTACAAATATCCGATAACATATACGTTGTCTTTGTAATAATGGTATTAGCGTAGACAATGTGACATAGAGTTGTTGACGTTCGGATTTGTCTTGATTTGGGGGATATGGGATAATGATAGCTACACCATCTTCTGGAATGACATCACAATATCTATCCTCAATGACGTCATTGTTGTTGTCGTCCTGTTCTGATTCCCCTTCATCATTATCCTCCTTCACCTTGTATATCCATGCTCCACCTGATAAATGAGGATAACTCAGGTTAGATAATATTTGTAAATTTGCATTAAATTTAGGAGATATCCTTTCTGAAATATATCCATGAGATTTTGATTGACTTTTAGAAATTTTAGGGATACGTTGACAAATACTTCTACATGTATCTTGTGTAATCAATTTCTGTTTATTTATTCTTTGTGTATTAGGCACCTGTTCATGTTGAATATAATAATAAGTGAGAATAATTTCATGAATAGATATTTGATATTCTAATAATATACATATAAGGAGAAAAAGTGAAGCGAATAAAAGGAGAAGAAGAGTCATAGTAGTAGTATTAGCATGATTAGATATTGACTTTGAAGGCTTTGAAGTTGATTTCAGCCTGGGCATAGTGTTTTGTGTGTGTGTGTGAGTGAGCGTATTACTTTTTATCCTAGTTACTTCACTATAGTTGAGTTGAGTTGACCTTCACAGCACACAGTTTATTAATACACACTGTGATATGACTGTATTTCTTTCTAATGGTTATATTTATATATAAGCGTGTTAAACATACCTACGCACGCATACTTATTTTTAAAAAAGTATGAGTAGCCAATAGAATCAATCGATTTACAATATTGTAGAGTGCAGTTGAATTATTGTTAATACTATTAGAATTGAATTATTAGAAGGTATTTTTAAGTATATCAGTAGTTTAGGGGAAAAGAAAATGTGATTTTCTTGAAATATACGTAGCAGCTTGGAATCTTTTTCTACCGTTTCCCATCTGTACTGTCTCTAGTTAAATTATTATAAATGTAGAGCTGATATGTGTCTTCCGATGATGATGATACGTTCTTATCCGTTTCAAGCTGATGCTTCAGTATCACACTATATTGTCCTATGCGTCAGGGGTTCAGTGATAGAACACTCGCTATCCATGCTTCACTTGGTCCGAGAATCGATTTTTAGCCCTCAGATGCACTCTAAACCTCATTAAGCAGATAGTAACAAGATCGGTAAGGGGTAAACGAGAAGGTTAAACGTAAAAATAGAATCATTGCTTGCAGCGTTTCATCATAAAATGAGAACCACTGGAAGCTAGTAGAGATTAATGGGGAGCTGTTGGCAACTAGTTTGGGACTCTTCATCAGTATGCACCCACTAAGGTTTAAAATTAGGACTTTCTGGTTACAAGTTGAACTCCTAGACCATTAGGCCACTGGTATCCGGTCCAATGGTCCATTAATTCCATATCGTGAATTGGCTGAAGCTGGAATCCAATGGGCTCGCCATTGGATCGGATCTCAGTGGCTTAATGGTCTACGAGCCGGTTAGCCTTATCCCCTGAAGGTCTTAAGTTTGAAACTCAGTGTATGTGAACTGCTAAAGAGTCCGAAACTGGTTGCCAACAGGTGTCTAGTACTCTCAGCAGGTTTTCCAATGTTCCTTGTAACCAATGTCAACTCACAATGAAATCCTGAAAGAAAATAAGTCCCTGCAAACCAACATTTGAAAACCATTTCTGCCAAGGATTCCAAGCTCTAGCTTGAAGCCCTGCAATGATTGTCAGATAAAATACATAGGTCAAACTAGTAGAAGAGGGATAGTCAGACTAGCTGAACATAAAAAGCTAACAAAATCTAGATTAGTTGACCCAATTAAGATAAGAAATCTAGAGAATAGCTCAGCTATAGCACTTCATTCAGTTACACACAACCATACAATAGGATGGGATAAGATGACAGTTTTTAAATCTAATGTTACAGGGTGGAGGGAGAGATTGATAACAGAAGCTTTGTTTATCGAATCAACTGCAAACCAACACATGTAATAGGAATGATTCAACACCTGTCCAGTCGGATATCTGGAAAATTCTACTACCTCTACTACAAATAGGAGAAGACAAAGAAAAATATAAAACTCTAGTTTCAAAGTCGTGTGGTTACAATTGATATGATTATGAATAATAAATTGTGTTCGAAACTTTGTCATCCAGTAAATAATACTGTCACTTCACTGTGTGATATATCTAATTAAAAAACTAATATGGAATTACTTACTATCACCGTGCCCAAGTTTTACACATATATTAATACTAACATCTTAATACTCTCTTTCATACACTATAATGTAGGTAATGTTTTGTATTTTGCAAAAACAAACGAAATGAAGTGAAACGGTGCCCATCAAAGTTCACTCCTTAGGAAAAAATTTCAGATGTATACATTCTCTAAATCAAAGATAAATTTCACTTGTGGGGGGTGTTATATTCTAGTTTTCCCCGTCGCCAAATTGTTATGTACTAGTTTTCCCCGTCGCCAAATTGTTATGTACTCGTCGCTAAATTATTGTTATGGACTGGTCGAGAAACTAATAGTCCTGACGCGAGAAGGCGGAAATCAGAAGACCACTAGGTTTGCGATGATACTTCTATTGTCCAAACACAAGGAGACGAAAATAAATGGTCTCACACCAAAGTGGTAAGTAAGTAAAGTAGTTGTAAAGTAGTTCACACAAATTGTGAATGCGAATATATATAAATAATTCAGACAAGCGTGGGAAAAATCATTAGACAGTCTTAACATGAATGGCTAATTATAATGGAGTGTCGATCCAATTATACATAGCGAATATAGCAGACATGCCAACAAACATATATGGATATATGTCACCAAGCAACGGACTGTCAACAAACACTCATATTATATATAATATAATATAAGGAGAATACACATTATTAAAGGAGACAAGTCCATACAAGTGAAGTGGTCACAGACTAACCGAGCAAACAGAAAGAGAGACCAACATGCACACACACACATAAATATATATATGTGGATACATATCACCTCCCCTTTTGAGAAGATGGATGATTAGTAGGATGTTTACCTGGGGGTTTATCTGGGACCTTTGGGCTTGTTGTTGACGCCTGTCGTTTCGTCTGATTGTTGGGTTTGCGGCTTCGGCTCCGTCCGGAATTGTCTGACATTTTATGCTTCTTGACTGCATTGCGTAGCGAATTTAGTGGGACATCAGCCAGATGCAAACGATCGAACCAATCAAGTCCCAAAACATTTAAATCATTCTTGGTGACGTAACAAATTCCTGTGAATTTGGTATTGCGGAAGGAAACAGAACATTTGAGTTCACCAATAAGTTTGAGCCGCCCACCACAGGCGCTGACAAGAGACTGGGAAGTATTGGTGATAGGTGGTCTGCCAATATAATTCCAAAGTTTCTCTGATATAACAGTAATATCAGAGGCGGTATCTAGCTGCAGACGTGCATCATGACCATTCATCTGAAGATCAAGATATTTCCGCATACCTGGTGTTGTGACTTGACGGGTTGCGCGTAGACTCAATGATCTTTTTGGAGATTTAGGACCAACATTTTGTTGAGCTTTTGCTGGATTTTGACATCTGGGTTTGCGTGGCTGACAAAAACCATTTTTATGACCGATGATTTTGCACTTGCTGCAACGATGATTTTTGTATGGGCAAGACTTTACAAAGTGCCACGCGCCACAATGCCAGCATGGTGATGGTGGGGTCTTCTTTGCAGTATTTTGTGAAGTTGGACGAGTATGTGTAGATTTCCGCGGAACATTAGAGAAGTAGGTGGGTCAGGAGTAGCTGATGAGAGATTTTTGCTCTTGCGTAATGCACGAATATCAGAGCTTCTCGGAGGTGTTGATTCGACCAAGTGTGTCTTTCTGCAGATTAATCAGCCGTTGATATTCATCAGCTATGTCATGTAATGTTAACTTGGGATTTTGTTCTAGCTGATTGAGCAGTCGAGTTCGGATATCTGTGAAACGAGGAGATTGGAGACTGCATATGAGAATCAAGGCTTTGAATTGATCATCTGTTAAGGACCTGAGTCGAAATCTCTCACATTCTCGGTTGACTGTGCCAACGTGAGTAAGAAAATCATCATTTTCATTCATTGCCAGCTTGAGGCAACGATAACGTATACTGAATAATGAGGAGTGGTCTCCGAAATGTTCACGCAGCAACTTTATTGTATCATCGAAACAATTGTCACGTGGTTTCTGTGGTAAAATTAGGTTGCAGTACCGTTCATATTCTGCCGGACCCAATTTACGTAGCAAAACTCGCACCTTCCAGGCATCGTCTTGTGAGGCGAGATCAACAGTGAATAAATCCTCATAACGTTGATACCATGTGTCAAAAGTGACATTAGCCTCTGGGTCATAATTGAACTGTGAAATACTGTTCACAATTCCGTCGACAGATGGTAGCATGGTATGATTGGGATTGCTTGAAGGTGAAGCTGGACCAGTCTGTTGGTTGACGAACATTTCCATTAATTTCAATTGTTGTTCAAACAATAATTCCAATTTAGAATAATCCATAGTAAATTGTTATGTTGTTGCTGCTGTGTGGTTAATAGTAGTTTTTCCCGTCGCCAAATTGTTATGTACTCGTCGCTAAATTATTGTTATGGACTGGTCGAGAAACTAATAGTCCTGACGCGAGAAGGCGGAAATCAGAAGACCACTAGGTTTGCGATGATACTTCTATTGTCCAAACACAAGGAGACGAAAATAAATGGTCTCACACCAAAGTGGTAAGTAAGTAACGTAGTTGTAAAGTAGTTCACACAAATTGTGAATGCGAATATATATAAATAATTCAGACAAGCGTGGGAAAAATCATTAGACAGTCTTAACATGAATGGCTAATTATAATGGAGTGTCGATCCAATTATACATAGCGAATATAGCAGACATGCCAACAAACATATATGGATATATGTCACCAAGCAACGGACTGTCAACAAACACTCATATTATATATAATATAATATAAGGAGAATACACATTATTAAAGGAGACAAGTCCATACAAGTGAAGTGGTCACAGACTAACCGAGCAAACAGAAAGAGAGACCAACATACACACACACACATAAATATATATGTGGATACATATCAGGGGGACTTTTAATACAACTAGTATACTAATGCTGACTAGATAATATGCTGAGATATTATTATGTATTATTATTATACTATTATGCGGCAGATTGTGGTGAATAAGAAGACAGGAATACATTGAGCCGATAAGAAGACTCTAGAAGATCTGGATTTCACAGACGATTAATGTCTAATATCACATAAATTCAAAGAATTACAAGTGAAAACCAACATGTTGTCAGGTAAAGATGACAGCAAAGGCAGGACTCCAAGCGAACATCAAGAAGACAGAGATGATGAAGATAGCCAACCAACCAACCAACAACAACAATAACAAGTGCCATTTCTTATCATGTGGGGGGGGACATTTGAAATAGGTCATTTCCGTCGCTTATCTAGACCAAATCAATTCAACAAAAAGACGACACCATGGATGAGGATGTCACAACCAGAATCGGAAGTGT